CTTTCTTTCTTTCTTTCTTTCTTTCTTTCTTTCTTTCTTTCTTTCTTATTTCTCTCTTTCTTTTTCTCTTTCTCTTTCTTTTCCTTCCTTCCTACCTGCTTTAAAGTCATTGAATACATGCTTGGTGCCATGCAGTTTGCTAAAAATTAGGCAGATAGTAATGAGCAACACAGTTTCTACCCTAACAAATCTTCTAGTCTCTTGAAAAATACAACATCACTAATAACTTATATGAGCGGATAAGTGGTAACAATATAATATGTACCAACAATTATATGTACCAATAACATAATATGTACCAACAAGGACAATTGTTGGATGTTATAAGAGTATACAACTGGAGAAGAAAAGTTCCTCTAGGGATCAGAGGAAGTTTCTTGGAGAAAGACTCATTTTTACTGAGATCTGAAGACTGGCTAGGAGTCAACCAGATGAAATATGTGGAATGAGGGGATTGGCATGGTGTGATAGGCAAGTCACCAAGGCAGGAAAGAATATCCTAGGAACTCAAAGAACACCATTGCTGTTGGAAGGTGGAAGAATTATGGAAAGCCTTGTAAGTTATATATTTGTTAGGAATACCTCTGATTTCAAGTCATAGGTAACAGTGGCTTTAAAATATGGGTTGAATTTTTCTTATATAATAGAAATTTTAGAGATAAGCAATTACCTGCACTGCTTCAGCTATCCATTGATATCACCAGTGACCCAGATTTCTTCTGTTCTTCCTCCTTTCATGATGAGTGCATTTTCTTTCATTCTCATGCTTGCCATTTCATGGTTATAAGATAGCTGCTGAAGCTCCAGGCATCACCACCATATTCAAGGCAGGGAATAATGAAGGAAAAGTGGCAGCACCAACTACATCTCTCAGGCTGTCATGGGGAAAGTTGACTGAAGAGGCAGAGATGATATGTGGTGATAGAAAGATATTAACCTTGTAAAAATGCCTGAGTCATGAATGGAGATGATGGTAGTAGAGAGGGGGAGAAGAGGGATTCAGGAAATAGAAGGTTTAGGATAACTAACTAGTCATAGGATTGTTATGTATAGAAAATGCAGTCATGTGTGTGAGTGCACTTTAAAACTATAAAGTTTTATATGAAATTCGTGCATTTTAAGGTCAGAATTTGACAAGTTTGCTATTAAGATACACGTTGTCCTTGAATTTAAAACTCCTCTTTCATTGGAACTCTTGAAAGATATAAAATGCGGTTGATTCATTTGGTAAAATAAAGGTATGTTCTGATCCTTTTTCCTTAAAAAAGTCAAAACTTCACTTCCCAGTGATGTAGAAAAGACAAAAAACATCCCCAGACCAACTGTATTTGCTCCCTCCAGCATAATAAAATAATCGTGCTTATGTGCTTATACCAAGGAAAACCCAACTGCAGCAGATAAAAGGATAGCTTTAAAGACATGAGGAAAATCTCCAGTCTGCCTTCAGTAAGGTGAATCCTTCTACAAAAAAAAAGGTGGTGATGGAGGGTGGGGGGCACTAAATCCACATCCTAATATGAATCTCATAAAAAATTAGAATTTCTCATTTTTCTATAACCGCTACTATTAGAATTCATTCCCAAGCTGAGATTTTCTTTTTATTTCAACTCTCACATTAACAGTCCAAGAATAAACCCTTGATTAAAGAAAAAGGATTACAGTGAAAGGGTTGAAATAAGCTTAATTGTAGAGGTGTGATTAATGCCACAGTGATAGACTCCCAAGTAATGATTTTTAAAATTTTATAGGAAATGTTTAACAAGATGATTGCCTGACTATAAAATTCTCTGTATAAGAAAATAGTCCTTGAAAGCAGCATTGGGCCCTGTTGCACTAATACATTTATGAATGGCAACATTTCTTTTATAGTTGTGATGAATGCTAAAGTAGAAACTTTATTATAATGATTTTGGACCCAGAACTGTGAAAATACAGGGCAGAATATGAACATTTTACCAGATCAATCAATTTTCATTTAAAAGTCTACTTATTGTGTATGGTATCAAACTATGAAAATGTAACATTTCAAACTAGTGATTTCTATCCTACCAAAATTGCAGTACTTATTTGGGTTTCAAAGTAGATAGGATCAGTGTTAGAGACAGCATGGTGTAGCCAAAAAAAAAAAAAAAAAAAGAAGAAGAAGAAGGAAAGAAAAGAAAAGAAAAAAAAAAACAGATTGAAATACCTGTGCTGTAGTTTCTTCTTCTATTTAGTCATTCAATCTGCGAGCATTTACACAAGGCCTAATAATTGTAAGACACTGAAATAGAAAGACACCAGATGTTTCTAGGTATTCTTCTTAAGAAATGCTCAGGCTCCACAGGGTAGGAACACAGAGGCAGGCACATAATTGAAACATCATAAACGGTATGACCTTGTGTTCATTTGTAATGAAAGCATATAAGTTTATGGGAACATAGAGGAGAGAAATTCATCTCAAGAGGGCTTGGATTAAAAAGGGGCTTAGTGGCCGGGCATAGTGGCTCACACCTGTAATCCCACCACTTTGGGAGGCCGAGATGGGCAGATCGTGAGGCCAGGAGTTCGAGACCAGCCTGACCAACGTGGTGAAACCCCATCTCTACTAAAAATACAAAAATTAGCTGGCGTAGCGGCACATGCCTGTAGTCCCAGCTACTCGGTAGGCTGAGACAGGGGAGTCACTTGAACCTGGAAGACAGAAGTTGTAGTGAGTCAATATCGTGCCACTGCACTCCAGCCTGGCCACAGAGCAAGACTCAGTCTCAAAAAAAAGGTGGGGGGGAAGGGGCAGGGTGCAGCGCTAAGGAAAGCTTCCAGTAAGCATGAGCACATGAATTAGGACTTGAAGTCTTCTCTTACACAGGGGACTGAGCCAGTTCAAGGGGGCCAAAAACATTAGGAAATGGTGCCCCTTTTAAGGAGCTTAAGCAATTGACATTTTCAGAGTTCAAAAGAGGCAAGACACAAGACAAGACAATGTTGATCAACTTTGGTTAACTTCAGGAGAGAAAAAAATCATGCTGGAAGGGTATAGGATGGCTCATAGAGAGTCTTACAGTCCTGTGCTCTCTTACAGAGCTTGGACTTAATCCTGAAGACAACAATGAACCATCTGGAAGATGCTATGTTTATATTTATATTTGACATCATTTATGTGGATTACTCTACAAAGGGCAGATTTAAAGGAGACCATTAGGAGTCTCCTGGCAATGGGCTGAGAGAAAGAGGCTGGAGAAGAGCTAGGGAGTATTGGGATGTTAATTTTGCAAAAATAGAAAGGAATCAAGGATATTGGTTAGAGGACACGCCAAGACTGCCCCCAAGAATAACGAAAACAAAGCTGGTGTGATGGGGAAGGGGATGAGTGCTCAGACATGTGGAGTTTTAGGCACTTATGGATTTCCAGGTAGAAATGACAGAAGAAAACTGCATACACAAGTCAGCAGCTCAGGGAGGATTCTGGCTGAAGAGAGTCACTAGAAGTTACCAGTATGCAGCATAACTGCATTAAAAGGGCATTCGGCTGCTGAAAGTTTGCTTGTTAATAACACCACTCAGGGAGAGCTGTGGCATGAAAGGAGCAGGAGGCCTTTACTGTACTGTGAGATTCCTTGAAGATCAAATGAAAGCCTCTGTGAAACAAGAGTATAGAAATATGACATGGTTATTATTTGAACTTGACTCAAATACTTAAATGATATACCTTAAGAAACAAATCATAAAGCTGTAATCATAACAACAAAAACAAAATTCATCTGTTGATGTCAAATCACTGCAATGGTATAAGGGGGTGAAGCATTTCAGAGGCGATTAGGTCATGAGGGTAGAACTGTCATGAATGGGATTAATGCCCTTATGGAACAGGTCCCAGAGAGCTGCCTTGCATCTTACAACATATGAGAGCACGGGGAGAAGGTCCCATGTATAAATAAGGAAACAGGCCCACACCTTGACCTCAGACATCCTAGCCACTGGAGCGGTGAGAAATGAATTTCTGTTGTTTATATGCCACCTAGTCTATGGTATTTTGTTATAGCAGCCTAGATGAACTAAGACACTCACTTACCAAAATAGTTTTATAGGTGTGACATAGAGAGACTTTAGGATGAACAGAAAATGTTGCTATGAGAAGTTTATAACTCCACTGAAAATCTATCCAGATTAAATTATTGGGAAGAAATTGATGAAGGAAATAATACCAAATATTGGAAAAATGATTTCAACTTTTCTAAGGTTTCAGGTTTCATTTATTCCTTATATTTTCCTGTATGTACATTTAAGAACAAGTCAAATTAATTAGAATAACACTCTTTGAGGTTAAAATACCCAAGCCATTCCTCAGGAGAAATTAGTACTTAAGAATTCGAGGATACTATAGGATTTAAAGAACTGGTGGGGGATTAAAAGCTCACACTATTTTGGTAACCAAGTCCAGTGAATTTTGAAACTAATTATTGAGCTTTCATTACATCAGAAGTAGATAGTAGATAAGATCATTTTATTTGTTTATGTCTTCAGTATTAAATTTTAACTCCATCTTCTCTTTTTCTCAGTAAGTGATCCAAAATTATCTTGCTGCTTTCCCAGAAATAATCTTAAAGTCAGTGCTCAGTACTGAGACAGTGATTTCAGTAGAACCGTGCTTCACTTAAAGAAAAAAGAGGAATTAGATGAATTGTATTCATTTAGTATGTGCAGACTTCAGGTCCTTTTTTCCAATAGAGCAGAGAAAGATACAACACTCCCTTGGGTCTTGTTGAAACCCAACAAGAAGAAAACGCTAATTTGGTACGGTATTGCATTAATAAAAGATATCATGCTGGTTTTAATATAGTTAGGGTTAACGTTAAAAACCAGCAGAAAAGTATGGTGTTTGGAATCAATTGTAAGATCCTGTTGCAAGCTAGGTAACAACTTTGAACCTTCACTGTAAAGTGAACACAATGACACCTCCCTAGTACTACTTAAGAGGTGAATTAGATAATGCATATAATGGGCTTGGTACAGGAGCTGGTAATTGTTTCTTAATAAATTAATAGACACTCTTATTGCTAATAATAACAAACATTATTTTCATAAAATCACTTTTATAATTTTCTCATATAAGATGACCACCTTTGCAATTCAGAGTTTATTTTGACTGCCCAGCATGTAAACACTTGTAATGTGAAAGGGCTCTCAGGCGAGGTGAAAAACTGGGTCATACCTCCTACTATGAAAACTTAAAAGCATGTTGATGTTTCTTTCTTCCTCTGACCAACTAGATGTTCCCATTTTTGGAAAGCACAAATGTATACTCACATGGCATGGATTCAAAGAGTACTTTTGAAAAATTCTGTTTAGCTAAAAATTTATATCTAATTTATCTTTACCTTTTAGTCCTTTTCAAGTATTTTTTGGAGAATCTAAACCAATTTTCTCATTCATTAAGTTATTCCTTTTTATTATTGCTTATATATTACATATAAATATATTAATATTAATATCTATAAATATATTTTTATTTATTATTTCTGTGAAAAAAAGATAAGTGACCAATGAGCTGGTCACAGTGCTAAATATCTCGTGATAAATGAAGAATGAAGAAGATGAGACAATAGAAAGAAAATTAAATGATAAATTAGACAATAGAAAGAAAATTAAATGATATTCGTAAATGTGAGAAAGTCAAAGGTATACCTGTTATGGCGACTGTCTAAAAATTAATTGGAAAATTGCATGTCTAGTTGTATTGCATATAGTGGCAAAATTATGCTGTATTTCATTTACCTATAGTACTACTTGTTCCTTCAAAAAATAATTAAGCATTGTTTTTTCCTACAAGTATTATATTTCTGAGTTATAAGACTAGGGTTTATTATACTGCTGAGTTTTTATGACATTCTTATATGGGCCAGTGACTTTTCTATCTTTTATCTAATAGTTTATGTTATATTGTATTTCATCAACACTCATGGTCAAAAACACTTTTTAAATTTATATTCAGAAAACACTGAGGAGCTCTGTGAGATACTGACTCTGACTAAGTTACAATGTAGTTAGTTGCATCTTTGTGTACACTACTGGGGTTTGGTTTCCAAAAGCCCCAAACATAGCACAAATGAATGATCTCAGTCAGGACTCCTCTTGTAGGTGCATAGTAGCCACTCAGTAACTTAAAATTGATTGATTCTTGCACTCTCCATGCACTAGCCTGGCCAGGCCTAAAAGTAAATTAATGTTTGGACTCTGAGTAGAAGATAAAACACATTTCTAGTTTTGGACATCATTAAACAGAATAATTAGTAATGGATGATTATTATTGTGTCATTCCACTCC